CTTGTGTTCCTGCTCTATCTCTCTCTGTCAAATAAATAAATAAAATCTTAAAAAATAATAATAATAATAATGTCCAAATGGGGCACCTGGGTGGCTCAGTCAGCTGAGTGTCCCACTCAAGATTTTGGCTCAGGTCATGATCTCAGGGTTTTGGGATTGAGCACCCCCGCCCCCAACCAAGTCTCCCTACTCAGCGGGAGTCTGCTTGAGATTCTCTCTCTCCCTCTCCCTCTGCCCCTCCCTCCACTCACATGCGCCTGCACTCTCTCTCTAAAATAAATAAATAAATCTTTTTAAAAACTAAATAAATAGAATAACGTCCAAATCTAGCACCTAAAATGAGCACTCTGATAAAATGATGATGGGAATGTAAAACTGTTAGTTTTTATTGAGAAAAACTCATAAGTACATATTAAAAGGCTAAAAAAGTGCATACCCTTTTAATCAGCAATTGCACTTCTAAGAAATGTCTAAGAAAATAAGGATATACGCTAAATAAAATTTAGTCAAGAGGATCTTTATCAAAGAATAGAAAAAATTGGGCGCCTGGGTGGCTCAGTTGGTTAAGCGACTGCCTTCGGCTCAGGTCATGATCCTGGAGTCCCGGGATCGAGTCCCACATGGGGCTCCCTGCTCAGCAGGGAGTCTGCTTCTCCCTCTCCCACTCCCTGTTTGTGTTCCTTCTCTCGCTGTGTCTTTCTCTGTCAAATAAATAAATAAAATTAAAAAAAAAAAAAAGAATAGAAAAAATCAAGTCAGATAACTATCCAACAGTAAGTGATTGATCATATGATAGCAAATATATACAATGAAATCAAAAAGAGCCCTTAAACATGGTTTGTAGAAATATGTTTATCATATGTAAAACCATCAAAAATATTCTATATAAAAATTTTGTTACACTGTATATTTAATCTCCACACCCAACATGGGGATCGAACTCACGACCCTGAGATCAAGAGTCCCAGGCTCCACCGACTGAGCCAGTCAGGCGCCCCTTGTTACACTGTATATTTAAATAATTATCAAAAATATGTATAGACAGAAAAGTTCTGAATGGATATATTTTTAAATTTTAATAGTAGTTATCTCTGAAAGCCAGGTTTCCAAGTTTTCTTCTTCTCATCTATATTTTCTAATTTTGGCACACTGAGAATCTTTTATCTAAAAAAAAAGAAAAATGTGGGACACCTGGGTGGCTCAGTCGGTTGGGCATCTGCCTTCGGCTCAGGTCATGATCCCAGGGTCCTGGGATCGAGTCCCACATCCAGCTCCTTGCTCGGCGGGAGCCTGCTTCTCCCTCTGCCTGCCATTCCCCCTGTTTGTGCTCTCTCTCTCTCTGACAAATAAATAAATAAAATCTTAAAAAATTAAAAATAAAAGCTTTTCAAACTTGCACCACTGAGGAATTGCATAGGAAAGCTGAGAATGTTCTTACAAGAGTCCCCTTATCTAAGCACTTAGTATATCATATGGTGATTAGTTACGTTTTCTGCCTCACAAGAATGTGACCTCCTACAAAACAGGAACTGAGTCTTATTCATTTCTTTTTTATTATAATGCATACTTTATTTAGTGTGTGGTATAACAGTAGGCTGAATGAATGGATGATAACCTTTATCAGGGAGCTCAAAGGCTCTCCAAGACACCTAAGATTTAGATTCTGTATAGGAAACACAGACAAGTCACCCATGAAACACCAAAGGCCGGCCAAAGGAGCCTCTCAGTAAAGATGAATTCTATTAAACTAACTGCTCAGACCAAAAAATCCTGAAGTTTTCTTTGACTCCTCTTTCTTTCACACCTCACACCCAATCCATTGACAAATCCAACTGAACAAATCCTGTTGGTTCTACATTTAAAATGTGTTCTCACAAGCTTTCTCACCATTTCACCACTACCACCTTGGTCCAAGCAAGAAGTCATCTCCTGCCCATTTAAGGGCACTAGTCCTCTACTCAGTGTCCATGCTACCATTCTGTTGCATTTTGGTCTTCACACAGCCAAAATGACCTTCTAACAGGCAGATCCATTCATGCAACTCTATGCTCCAAACTCCCGATACATGTAGAATAAAATCCAGCGTGCTTCCCATGGCTTATAAGCCCTGCATGATCTGCTACAGATGCCCTCTTTGAATACATTCCCTTCCGTGATTTCTCACAGGGTTCCAGCCACACTGGCCACCTGGAACTTGTCAAGCACATTCCCACCTCAAGGCCTCTCCCCTCTCCACACTCATCTTTTTTCCCTCTTTGCTGGGAATCCACTTCTTTTTAAAACTGAACTTATCAAAAAGATCTCTGCTTAAAAGTCACTTTATCAAAATGGCTATCTTTAACCGCTTTATTCTTTTTTTTTTTTTTAAAGATTTTATTTATTTATTTATTTGACAGAGAGAGAAAGAGCGAGAGCAGGAACACAAGCAGGGGGAGTGGGAGAGGGAGAAGCAGGCTTCCCGTGGAGCAGGGAGCCCGATGCGGGGCTCGATCCCAGGACCCCGGGATCATGATCTGAGCTGAAGGCAGACGCTTAACGACTGAGCCACCCAGGCGCCCCTAACCGCTTTATTCTAATAGCAGTCCTTCCCAACCAGCCTTCTACCCTCGCTTCCTCTAATCGGCTTTCTTTTCCGTGCACCACCTGCCATTATATTATCTATTAATTTGTCTGTTGTCTATCTCCTCCACTAGAATGCCTATTGGGACAAAGAGTTTGTTTTCTTCACCACTCAATTTCAGGCACTTTGAATAGTGCCTGTTATGTTGGAAGTACCGAATACTTATAAGGTAATTAGGGGAATGAATAAGTAAATACCTTTGGCAAGATATGTTTCAAGTTCTCTGTGTAAACACAGTATCAGGTCCAGTATCTGCTCTAAACGACAGAGTATTTCCTGAGGCCAACACCAGGAAGGGAAGTTGGAATGAAACAGGTGGAATAACAGCAGCATATTACTCAGTAATAACGATGTTGCTGATGATCAGGCCCAGAGTTCCGCAATCCCCAAAAGCCACCCCGACCTCTCATCCCACTACCATTTAAAACCCACATATACCTTATTGAACTTAAAGTTTTTCTAAGAATTTCTGAACATATTTAACAAACACCGTAAATTATTTCCATGAGGAAAAGTCAGTTATTTCATACTCTGACAACCTCCTTCTCATTAGCTAGTAACCAAACACTGTTTCTTAATATGTAGCCTTGTAACATGGAATAATCATCTGATTTGCTAAAGCCACTAATTATTTCTTACTGCCCTTAATTTTTCAGTAAAATGAGGCAAGGAGAGACCCTGCAAAATAAACACAGGCATTCTCAAAGCATGTGTGAGGGAAGCCTCAGGGTACCAAGGTCAGCTGTGGTCTATGTCTATGTCTATGTCTTTTTGTTAACCAAAAGTAGTTAACGTACCTAAATTTGAGAATTAGTTATTTTAAAAAATAAACTGGACTATGGTCAGTGTCATTTACAAGATTCACTTCCTTTCTGATATATATTTCTTGAAAAAAAGCTAATGTGTACCAGATCAGAAATTTTGCATAACCCTACTTGATGATCCTGTCATTTAAGTAAACTGTGAATGATATTCCTCATAGTCAACCACAGGAATATCATAATTTTTCAAAACACCACGGTAAGGGTAGTAACGTTGAGAACGCAGGCTATGGAATGGAGTCAGGCCAGCCTGGGCTAGACTTCCACTTCTGCCACTTAGTTGCTTTGTGATTTTGGGTAAATTCTCTAACTTCTCTGGGTTCCATAACTCCCTATCATCCATAAAATGCAGTTAAGAAGATCTACTCTTGTAGAGATGTTACAGGGGCTGGGACAATGTATCAAGTACATCTTGTCCCAGGCAAGAATGATTAAAGAATGAGAAAGCCACATGCAGCTGATGGAACAGTGCACAAAAACAGTGGAAGGTGGGAAAGTCTGTTTGCAAACCTCTGCACACAGGCAGCCAAATAGAAAACCGTCCTCCACAATCCTCCACAAGGAGTCTATAAATTGGAGCATCTGTTAAGACACACACACACACACACACACGTATCACGTGCCCTGAGAGGAAATGGCATCTTTCTTCATATCCCAATCAGCCTTAAAAATTATTTAGCCTTTACACTAGTACTAATAATCCTAACCTTACATTTGTATGTCTCATCTTCCTCACCCTAGGAGGGTGGCATCAATCCCCAGTCCGACTCCCTGAGGTCTACAAGCGAAAGAGAAAAACTAAGACATTACTGAATACAACTCTAACACTTAGCAAAGCTATTGTCCCCTGAAGTGTCCATATAGTAAAACAGTAAGCCCCTGCCTTATGCTTTGTCAGTAACAAGTCCTTTCTATACACTCTACAGTGGAGAACTATCGCAATAGGAAAACCGCCAGCAGAAATACTGTATGCCCTGTATGAACTTCCGCCTTCCAGAATCAGTGATGTCCCACACTGGGTCGGTCCGTCTCCACCAAGCCGACCCCAGAGGTGCTCTCCGCCAACAGTACATAAATGGCCTCAGCATTTCCCCGCCCCAGACCACAAGACGCAAAGGGAAAGTTAGGGCCAAACCCAGGAACACAGCCTAAAGCCTGGGGTTTGCCAAGCCGTTCCTGGGCCCCTCTCAGCGCGAGGGGCATGCGGGTGCAGGTTCCGGCCGGGCGGCCGCACACAGTACCTGGATGAGGCCCCGCTGCAACAGGGCGCTGTGCACGCAACCGGGGACCCTCCCCGGCAGCTCCAGCGAGCCGTTCCCGCTGCGGATCCTCCAGCTTCCCCGCAAGCTGAGGCTGCGTCCCAAGGCAGTGGGGCCCGCTCCGCACAAGGCGAGCAGGAGAAGCAGGCGGAGGCGCATATCGGGGGCGGGTGCTACTGCACCCGGATCGGAGGCCGCGGAAGCGCGGCTCCCTCGGAAGAAGCCGGGCTCTCGCTCTCGCCGCCCGGGCCCCGCCCCCAGGTCAGCTGAGCGGCTGGGACCGCCCTGGCCCCCGAGGCTGCGCGGGCTGGCGGTGCGCGCCGAGCTCCGGTGGCTGGGCAGAATCTGGTCCCGGGCTGGTACCTCTGCAGTCTGGGCAATTCTCAGCGCTTGTTCCTGCTGCTCCGATGTCTGAACAGGAGGCGAGAACCGTGCAGGGTAATTGGGACCCACAGATCCCTGGGCACAAAGTGGCGCGCCAAGCCTCGGGGAGCTCAAGGACAGACAATAGGATGACGAGACACTGCTAGAGAGAGAGGCTCCTGACGGCTTCAGAGAAGGGAAACACCGAGACACTCGCCGCCTCAACTCCCCCAAATTTCCCCAGACCCTCATCCACACTGCAAGGGCCTGCCTGGCGGCAGTAACGCTCACCTCCCGCAGCTCCACAGGTGGTCTCAGAGCGTACTCCCACCCTTCAAAGAGTAGACAGTGACTAAAATTACCTCATTCGTAGAGTCATTTTGAGGGCTGAGAAAATCCGTGCACAGCGTGCAGCGTGGGGCCTGGCCCAGAGATAAACAGTTAGTTACTGTTAGTGGACTACGACCCTCTGTTTTTAAAAAGCCTCACAGAGGAGGCTTCCTGAGGTTCAGAAATTTGCCCTAAATGCGCTCGCAAATTTAAAATCCTCTGCCGCGCAGTGAGTGTGAGTGAGACTTGAACTGGAAAGTTTCTGAACTCACAAATGTAGACAGTACACTTTTTTCAGGTTGTTATAAGCATAAAATGAATTAACATGTATAGCTGTTCCTAACAACGCAGGGGTACCCAAGGAATAGCACAGGCTTATTTCAGGTTTCATTGTCACGTGGTCTACTTAAGTCCCATTTTGCAATAGGATGTAACAGTGATCCTAGGAAGGTGACACGGAATTTTACATTACATAAAATAGATTTATTCCTGTGCCGATGTTATCTCCCTTGTTTCCATATTTAGGAGGAAGCCTTTAAAGAGTTCTCCCTTCATCAAATCTGAGCTTCATTTTGGCTATTTATAATGACCCTGGAATTGCCTGAATCTGCAGACACAGGGCAGTATTTTACTTTTACAGAGTCATTATTTTTCATAAGCCTAGCATCTTGGCTTTAGGGATATTATGGATTATCTACTCCAAGCCTCTGGTTTTACAGCTGAGGGAACAGAGTCCAAAGCGGTCAGGTGACTTGCCTGTCATACAGTGGCAGGCAGGACCAAAATTCTCCAATTCTGGCTTAGTCTCCTTGTAGTAGAGCCTATTGATATTGAGAAGGCTCTGGCTGGCTCAAAGCCTTCCTCACTTCAGCGGCGTTCTTTTGATAGGAACAAAGCTCTCAATTAAAATAATATGCCATAACTCAGTGCATTAAATAGTCAGCCCTGGTCTGTTTAAAACAAGACATAACAGCAAGAGTAGTAAAGGAATTTTTTCATAAATCTCAGAGATTCCATTAAGCCAGGTCAAAGGAAAACTCATCCCAGCAAATATGTTTCAGTATATTCTGTTGTTCTGTTAGGAAATAGTTTAATGTGGTGCCTGAGTGGCTCAGTCAGTTAAGTGTCTGCCTTCAGCTCAGGTCATGATCTCAGGTTCTGGGCTCAAGCCCCAAATCAGGCTTCTCTGCTCAGCGGGAAGCCTGCTTCTCCCTCTCCCCAACCCCCCACCCCGCCCCTGCTGGGTGCATGCGCTCACTCTCTCTTAAATAAATAAATAAATAAATAAATAAATAAATAAATAAATAAATAAATAAATAAATAAAATCTTTAAAAAAGAAAAAAATAGTTTAAGGAATCTATTTTAAGAAAAAAATAAGAATACACACTTACCATTTCTCTTTTCATTCCAGAACACAAACATGGCGTGACTTGGATTGCTTCACCTTGAAATCAGAGAGCTTTGAGAAAATCAAACCCCTAATAAGTATTCTGCCTAAAGTTTGGATTGGCACAGGTAATATGATGAATTTTCATTTTGTTATAGGATAATTTTTTGTCCATTATTTCCGGGAAGAATAAATCTTATTTTTAGCCATAAAAATTGTTAACTTAAGTAACTTAAAGCCACAATATGAAACACAATTTTAAAAAATAGTCACAAGTCCTTACACTGTATAAATGGATTCTATTTTATCATCTCATTTGATGCTTTCTAAAATTCAAATTGTTTAGATCAAATGATAGTTTCCTGGTTTAAAAAGACAAGGCTTATAGAAGTTAAATGATATACAGGGTCAGCATCCTGCTACAGAAGACCAATGAGGGCTTTTTGGCTCACATGGCAATGCTTCCATCATCTCTAAATATATGAAGTTGATAAACTCATTAGATTAGAACACCAAGGTATACCAAGGCCAAAGATGTTCCAATCCCATGAGATAATTACATAAATTATAATGAGGGGAAGAAAAATGACTCAGAGTGTCTGCTTAATCCCCAAAGCTAGGGATAGTAGGCCAGAAGTATCTCCCTAGAAAGTTATACAAAGAACTCTTAAACTCAACAGTAAGTTCACAAATAACCTGGCTAAAAAATGGACCAGAGACCTTAGCAGACAAGTTACCTAAGAAGATATACAGATGGCAAATAAACATATGAAAAGATGTTCCACATCATATATCATCAAGGAAATGCAAATTAAAACAACAATGAGATACCCCTACACACCTATTAGAATGACCAAAATCCAAAACACTGACAACACCAAACGTTGACAAGGATGTGGAGAAACAGGAACTCTCATTCATTGTTGATGTGAATACAGAATGGTAAAACCACTTTGGAAGATACTTTGGTGGTTTGTTACAGAATTAAATATGCACTTACCTTATGATCCAGCAATTACAATGCTTGATATTTACCCAAAGGAGTTGAAAACTTATGTCCATACAAAAATATGCGGGGGCATATGGGTGAGTCAGTCAGTTAAGCATCTGACTCTTGATTTCAGCTCAGGTCATGATCTCAGTGAGATCAAGGCCGGGCATGGAGCCTGCTTAAGATTCTCGCTCCCTCTGCCCCTCCCCCCAACTCGTGTGTGCATGCATGCATGCATGCATGCATGCTTGCTTTCTCTGTAAAAAAAATTTTTTTTTAAATGCATGTGGATGTCTATAGTAGTTTTATTTGTAACTGTTAAAACCTGGAAGCAACCAAGATGTCCTTCAGTTGGTGAATGGATAAATAAACTGTGGTATGTCTGAACAATGGAATATTATTCAGTGCTAAAAAGAAATGAACTATGAGCACTGGGTGTTATATGTAACTAATGAATCATTGAACACTACATCAAAAACTAATGATGTGCTGGGGCACCTGGGTGGCTCAGTCGTTAAGCCTCTGCCTTCAGCTCAGGTCATGATCCCGGGGTCCTGGGATCAAGCCCCTCATCGGGCTCCCTGCTCTGCGGGAAGCCTGCTTCTCCCTCTCCCATTCCCCCTGCCTGTGTTCCCTCTCTCACTGTGTCTCTCTCTGTCAAATAAATAAATAAAATCTTTAAAAAAAAAAATAGGCCGTCTATATGTTGGCTAACTGAACATTAAAAAAAGAAAATAAATTTGAAGAAAAGTGAGTCAAAAAAATCTTATGACCAATAAAGATATCATATAACAGTGCATTACTATGTATTATATATAAAATTTTGACACAAAAATGGTGTTTGTTATTTTGATTGCATTTCAAAACTAATAAATTAATCTTGCAAAACAAAACAAAAAAAACTAAAAACAAAACAAAAAAAAGAAATGAACTATCAAGCTGTGAAAAACAGGGAGGAAACTTAAATGCATATTACAAAGTAGAAGAAGCCAATCTGAAAAGGCTATATAAAATATGACTCGAACTATATGACACTCTGGAAAAAGTAAAACTATGGAGACAGTAAAAAAGATGAGAAGTAAAAAGATGCCAGGGGTTAGGGAGGGATGAATATATGGAGCACGGAGGACTTTTAGGGCAGTGAAACTACTCTGAATAACCATAATAGTGGATATATATCGCTATACTTTTGTCAAAACCCATAGAATGTACAACACCGTGAGTGAAGTGCAATGTCAACTATAGACTTTGAGTGATAACGTAGGTTCATCAGTGGTAACAAATATACAATTGTAGTGGGGGATATGATAACGGGGAAGGCTGTGTATGTATGGGAGCAGGGAATGTATGGGAAATCTCTGTATTTTTCATTCAATTATGCTGTTAACTTAAAATTGCTCTAAAAATAGTCTATTAAAATATATATTTCTAGAAATTCCATGGGTCAAAGAAATAAGACTTCCTGTGACTTGTCATGTAAAGATCTTGGAAGTCATCACTGCATCCTAAAAATAAGTAAAAAGCTGAACTGAAAATCACTAACTCTTCTTAGATCCATCAGAGAATTCAGGTGACAGCAAACCACTACCCCCAAAACTGGAGAGATAGGTGGATACAGAGAATCACAGCTTACCAAAGCAGAAACCCATGAGCAGAAAGCACCTCAGGAACAGGTACTAGGGTAGGAAAACCTAAACTATAAATGGTGAATTGCTGGAAGTTGAGAGTTAAGAACTCTTATCAGGGCCCAGTCTTAGGGGGTTACCCATGCTTTTGTGAGTTCTGCTTTATGGAGCTTAACCAAGTTCTCACACTGAAGATTAGAGAACAATTCCCTGATACTTCAGCAGGGGGAGGGGAAAAGGAACCATTTTGAAATACATCAGACGATTCTGTTCTTCTTAACAGGACCTGTCATCAAGAGAAACTATTTAACCAAAGCCTAACTAAACCTTTGGGGTTGTATCAGGGTCTAACCAACCTAGAAGAAGGGAAATACCAACTCCAGCCCTCTCTAGCTATCCTGCCCACTAAGGAGGTGAAAAAAAAATGAGAAGCTCTTATGAAGTTCATAGCTCAGGGCACAAGCTCACTAAAAACCTAAGCCTAATCATAGGACTATAGAAAGTTTCCCCTCTCTTGGGGCACCTGGGTGGCTCAGTCAGTTAAGTGTCCGATTCTTGATTTCAGCCCAGGGTCATGGAATTGAGCCCCACAATGGGATCTGCACTCAGTGTGGTCTGCTTGTCTCTCTCCCTCTGCTCCTCCCTCCTCTCTAAAATAAATAAATAAAATCTTAAAAAAAAAAAAAAGCTTCTCCTCTCCCCACATCCTCCCATCATATCACCAAAGGCCTATTTACCACAGTTCCTTTCACCCAGAACACCATGTATGGCTTTCAACAAAAAATTACAATGCAAAAAACACAATTTAAAGAGGCAGAGCAAGTACTAGAACCAGACTCAGATATGGCAGGGATATAGGATTAACAAGCCAGGAATTTAAAATAACTAACTATGATTAATATGCTAAGGGTTTTAATGGATAAATAGCATGATAGAACAAATGGGGAATGTAAGCACAGGGAGTCTAAGAAAAAATTCTAAGGAAGACTCACAAAGAAATACTAGAAACTAAAAACATGGAGAAAAATGAAGAATGTCTTTGATGGGCTCATTAATTAACTAGAGATGGCAGTGGAGAAAATCGCTGAACTTTAGGATATGTCAACAGAAACTTCCCAAATCAAAAAGTGAAGAAAAAAGACTGGGGGAGAAAATGGAATAGAATATTCAAGGACTGTGGAAGAACTTAAAAAGGTGAAACAAACAATGTGAATATGAGGAGGAGAGGAAAAAGAGAAAGGAACAGAAGCAATATTTGAAGCAATAATGACCGAGAATCTGCCCCAAATTAATATCAGAGGACAAATCATAGGTCCAGGAAACTCAGAGAACACCAATCGGAATAAATGACAAAAACAAAACAAAACAACAACAACACCCAAAGAAATACAACTAGGCATATCATATTCAAACTTTAGAAAACCAAAGATAAAGAAAAAATCTTGAAAGAGCAAGCGGGGGAAAAAAACCCTACATTTGGAGGAATAAAAATAAGATTACATCTAATTTCCCTTCAGAAACCATGCAAGCAAGAAGACAGTAGAGTGAAATGAGGAAAAAAAAAAAAAAAAAGCATCACCAAACTAGAATCCTGTATCCTGTTAAATTATCCTTCAGAAGTGAAGGAGAAATAAAGATTTTCTTAGACAAACAGAAAATGAGGGAGTATGTTGTCAATATACCTGCCTTGCAAGAAATGTAAAAAGAAGTTCATCAGAGAGAAAGCAAATGATATAGGTTCAAAAACTTATATCTACATAAAGAAATGAAGAGCATTAGAGAAGGAATAAGTGAAGATAAAATTAAAACTTTTATTTTTCCTGTTCTTAATTGATCTAATAGATAACAGTGTTCAAAGTAATAACAGTGACAATGTATTTGATGATTATAGCTTGAATATAAGTAAAATGATTGCCTGTAATGACACAAGGGACTGGGAGGGAGGAACTAGGAATACTTTGTTATTATAAAGCACTTGCACTACCCATGAAGCAGTATGCTGTGTTTTGAGTGTGGACTTTGACAGTGGAGTTGTAAAAGGTATATTGCAAACTCTAGGGCAACCACTAAAAAAAAGTTTAAAAACAATAATTCATATGCTAATTCAGTAAGTAAAGGAAGTAAATAGTGTACAGATTGTGAGGGAAGATATAAAACTATCTTTGTTTACAGATGATATGATTGTGTATGTAGAAAATCTGAAAGAACAACAACAAAAACCTCTGGGACGAGTATGCAATTTATAGCAAAGCTGCAGGATACAAGGCTAATATACAAAAGTCTATTATTTTCCTACATATCAGCAATGAAAAATTGGAATTTGAAATAATAAATGCAACACTACTTACATTAGCACCGCAAAAATGAAGCATTCAATATAAATTAACAAAAATGTATAAGATCTATATGTAAACCTACAAAACTCTGATGAAAGCAATCAAAGAAGAACTAAATAAGTGGAGAGATAACTCTATGTTCACAGATAGGAAGACTCAATATTGTCAAGAAGTCA